GGGAATATAATCGACACGGTGAAGCTGTTTATGTGCCAGCTACTCGGCCCTCTAGGCAGTCTCCGCGTGCGAACGAAGCGAACGTTGCGTATTTTTAGCCGGCTATTAATAACTTAAAATGAAAGTTGATAAACCCCCGAAATTGAAACAACATTTTTTTCCATAATCTGCAAATGTCTTTGCACCCGATCATTTTTGTGCGTTAGTTTTTCGTTTCTGTAGGATTACTGGCAGCGAAATGTGTTAAACACTTGTTAAGGAGGTGTACGTGTCGTTAAATTCGTTAATGTTAGCATCTGACTTTCGTAATGACTTTCGTAATGAAAGTGACTTGTAGCCACTTGATCATGGTATACTGATCAGTTAAGTGAAAAAATTACTAATTTGGAGAAGTTATTTGGTTATTTATTTTGGAGTTCTTTAGTTATCCCTTTTGACGCTTAAAAGACTGAATGCACCATGTTCTTTAGACTTTGTTTACAAAACATCTATCATTTGGTGACCTTCTGCCACCAGAGCCGCAAATGTCTTACACAATGTGATCAATTTTGACACGTACTTCAGAAGTGAACTTAGTTGAAATATAAAACCTACATTCTTTTGATGAGTGCGAGCTAAATATAAAATGTGAAAAAAAAAAAAAAAGAAAAAAGCAAGGGCTTCGCTACAAATCGTTTGAAACCAGACACCGCTCTATTGAGAATCAAACAACCGTCTTCAACGTCCGCTTCTAACTCTGGTAATAAATATAAACCACGCGCAAACCGCAAGTCGGTGACCTTTTTTCTTGTTAAACAGCAAATCAAAAACTTGTCATAAATCAAACGTCAAACAATCAATAAGTCACGTAGTGTTTGAACAATCCAACATCGTGTTAAGCGATCATGAATACAATCAACTCAGTATTTACTTGCTGATCGAGGTGACTACTAGGGTTTACGTTTCAGTTCCAACCAGTATGAACGCTTTAGTGATGTTTGGAGACCACCGCTAGAACTCTTTTTGTCTGACCCTAACTGTTTCCAAAATATTTTGTGGCTGCTTATTTCAGGAATGAAGCACGTGTTCTGAAGAAAAATGAAAAAAAGCTGCCCAAAAATACATTGATCTTGCCTTGTTTCAGTATGATGCACATCCCATGACAATCATATGGATTTTACATCGCAAGAAAGCCGACAACATGAACGGATGTTCCCGAGCTGTGGTAATTTCATGTCACAGAGCTAGTTTAATTAGGGGAGAGAAAAGTGTGCAGCATGCATATGTAAACTTCAGTAAGTAATAAATTGTCAGTTCGTGTGTTGCCTCTTTTCTTCAGGAAAGGTAGCCATCGAGGTTTGTGACCTAGTATTTAAAGGTATGTTTCGCCTAAGAATACATTTTTCTAAGCACTATGCATGGTCAATGGAAAAGGGCTTAAGCAAATTAAGAAACGCATCCTATCATTGATAGGCTTTGTAAAGAGTAAATAACATCATATGACATTGAAAAGCTCTGGAGATTTTAATCAGCCGAAATCTACACCCTGAGTTTTTTTTTACCTTAGTTAAAAAGCTCTTGTCCAGGATCGTTCAAACCGAGCATATTTTTCTGGTTCGTAGAGAGATATGTAAATACATACATATCAAGCTGTTTCATATTCCAAAAGATGCAAGCGCAAAGCTATTATATTAGTTTCCTTCTGGGAAGCAATCCACGTCTTTATTTTGCCAAAGTCACACAAAAACCAAATGACATGTGTGGCCTCATGCTTGAGGATCGTTTAGTGATGGTTTAATATGAACTCGATGCTATTCTAGAAGGCCACATCAGACTCTTCGGCCTTTAATACATGGCTATAATCCTCGCAGTACCAGCCTTGCACTAGCTGTTGTGTCTTCAACAGTTTATAACTTTCATAAGATAAGCCCAAGCTGGATAACCGTCGCTGTGATGTTAAGCTCTTAGTTCTTATCTGCTTCCTGTCTCGAGGTGCAAGAGGCTTCACCTTGATACTAAACTTCGCAAAACAAATATCAACTTTGTATGTATGAAAAATGTCGCTGGAGTCTCAATTTCCCTTGGCTCAGACACCGAAACTCGAGCTGCAGAAGCAAAACTTGTTAACACTACGTGGGTCTCAAGTTTGCCAAAACCAACATTATTGTTGAATAAAGGCTGATAGTTTCTAAAGAAACTGTTTGGGGCTGCGTCGGTGGGGGTAACGAGATAATTTGGATATATCAACAAAGTTGAAATGGTAAATTGGCCACCGTAACGATTACAAAAGCTGACGTTTCGAGCGTTATTAAACATTCATTGTTGATGTCCTTTTGAGTTCATCTTCCCAAAAGGCGATAAAAAGGTTTTCAAAAATTCGTTACTCGAGTCACATTTCTGTAAAAAATTTGAGGGGTAGTAGCCAAAAAGGTTTCCTGATTTCTTTGAAGCACTGCCTAAGCAGAATATTCTCCAGTCTCCAAATTGCACCAAAGGTGGTGATACCGCTCGAAGGTTGTCTGAGAAGAACAAAGACATCCACAGAATGTCAACGTAGTCAGGAAGGAAACGATGGAGGAGAAAGAGAAAAGTCAATTCAAACAGTGTGAACTTTCCGTATATTGACCCTCGCTTAGCGAACGTGAAGGAAATGTTATTAACGTCTTGCATGTGTCTTCGGGGGTAGCTTCGACTCTACCATCCGCGTAGCCATTTACCGGAGTGATGTGGCATATTTATTCAAGTATGCTGAAAATCAATACCAATTTTATGACGGGTAGGATCGTGCAATTACACAGTAAATTGAAATGATTTCCCGATCTAGGGGGATTTAGCCCCTATGCCACTTCTCCAAGCTGCACTTAAGCGATGTCTAAAGTGACCAGCTGTGTTCCTCTTTCGGGCCAGCTTCCCTTTGGGTAGTCGAGTAGTTTGAAAAATGGCAATAAAAAACTGGAAAGATAAAAGCGAACCATTCCCTTTATCAACGAACGACATGCGTATTGAAGTCCGATGAAACATCCTGTATTCTTAACAAATAGAATATTTTTCCCATTTGTGTGCATTCGATTGGTGTTTGTAAATTTCTATACATGCATACTCATCAGTTGGAATTTCTCTCGAAAGAATGTAAACTTTCGCGAATGTAAAACGAACGGAGTTTTAAAAAATTTGATCTGAAGAAGGGCTGAAAAAGCAAATATAGAGACCTCGAGAATATTTAACTTAAGAAGGGCTTCTGACAGTCTGCATTTGGGCGTCTCTGTAATGTCAGTGATACACGCTTTCAATTGTTGATGATCATAGAGTATGTAGAGCGTTTGATAAAACTGTTACACTGAAATTTTATTGCTCTGGTTCAACTTATTTAAGTTAAACAACATATCTAAAAGTTTCATGAGCTGATCTTCTCAAATGTTAAAAATTTTGCTCGGGTAATAACAGTAAACCAAACCCTTAGGAATGGGTCAATATTCTTTAGCAACCGCAAGAATCAATAAAATAATCGGGTTACTTTTGTGGTAATTCGAAGGTTCTTTATCCATAAGTTCTACTTAATCGTCAAGCAACGAGGATGATGTTCGAACATTCTCATATCATCGCCAAGTTCTTCAGCAATGCAATCGAACTGAGGTAAACAGTTAAAGCCAGTTTTAAACACATTACCGGTATAGAGCTTTCTCTCTGCCGGTAACTTTGACTATCATTCAAATAATTGTACAATAAAGAAAAAGGCGGTGGGTGAAATACTCGATTCATGGACGAGTAAAGCCTATGCAATTCAATAAGTGCTCAGATGGGAATGGTCACGACATCTTTCAGCCACAAAATCAATACTTCTTCTCGAAGTTGCTTAACAATGTGATCGCCCTCTAATACTGAAACCAAGAATTCGTAAAGACTTTGATCTATATAAAAAGATTCAATACTTATCGTTCAAGATTAAGGCATTAATCTATCTTTGAAGCACATTCCTACATGTAACTTGATAAGGGTGGCGATCATGATCTCTCAACAGTTAAGATGGCTCAACTAGCTTACACCCCGACCAAATTGATATTGCATGTCTGAGTGAAAGTATTCGATTAAAGAAGGGTTTTTTTTTTGTTTTTTTTTTTAATAAAACAGTAGACTTCTCAAAAATAAGGCTTTGAACTTGCTAAATCACCTCGTAAGTTTCTTACGTCAAGCAGTCACTGATGAAGGGCCGACTGCTGTCTCTTGTCTGTTCAAGCTCGTTGATTACAACTAGCATTACGATAGCATGTGCTTTCTCAAAGTCAAATGTAAAACGTAAATGTCTTCTGATATTATTTTGCAATGAAAGTGGTTAAGACTGTTAACATATTGTTCAAGAAATAAGTGACCTCTCGTCTTGTTTCCATACAGCGAGGAACTTGTCTAAAAATAGCTTTGAGAAACTGAACCGTTCGCATGAACACAGCCAGAAAACAAAGCAAAACAATACCCCATATGAAGCCTAATAAATCTCTGTCTATTACTTAGCAGCATTCCTTTGTACAGAATCCTTCGCTATTTTATCCTTTGTGAGGCGATCGAGCCATGGGTAATTTGATTAAAAAAATTCTGCCTACGGTGGGAATCAGAAAATAGCAGGCGGCATTGTTAACGCTCTTATTTGTAAATAGACTTAAAACGTGAAAATAAGCGACGGCACACGACAGCGAAAAGGGCGGCAGTCAACCTTTGACATTTCCTAAATATAACCTCAAAGATTGACAACTCAATTCTCTTCAATGCATTAACTCCGCTTCACAAACCTTACACTGGTTGGTCTTTATTTTTCATAAGTGAGACGAAAATACTCTGCATTGAGTGGCCCAAAGTCAAAAGGTACTTCACCGTTCATCTAGCATTGCCAAATCTTCGTTTGATCGGTAAAAACATTCAACTTTGCAGAAAGTACCGCCGATCAATTTGATAATAGGTCACCTTTATCACCCCCAAGAGTATGGCGTGATAAACGCCGACAACTAGATAAGGGTTCACCGGAGTGTAACACTTGGTTTGCATATTTATGCCCAATCACAACCTCTTGAGATCATTTGAACCTTGATAGCAACAGAAGCAACAGCTTACTGATCAGAAGAAAAGCTCTGTACCTCACATTCCAATGACTATGGGGAGTTTTTCAATTACAGACAGCCTATCCGCTGCACCGATTTTGCTCTTCTGCTTCATGACTTGTTTCTTCCTGAAGAGAAAGTCAGCACGGGAAAATTCTTTTTCTAATTTGCCTCCAGGACCTTGGGGCTTACCAGCAATAGGTAAGGTTATTTATCTTTTGGAATAAATTTAACTCTCTATACACCGGCTGTTATCGAAAACTTTTTTGTCATCTCATGAGGCGTTCGCCACGATTTCAGCTCGTCAAAAGGCATAAAAGTTTGCACCTTTCTCTACTTTTGCAATCGAAAACTTTTTGCTCTTACAAGTGCCACATAAATTTTCCAAAAAATGGATGGGATGAGATCAGACTAACAAAATGGCAACAATTGATTTCAGCATTGTCAAAGTTGTAAGAGTCAATTTAAATAAGTCCTTTGAAGTTTTGCAAGAAGGAGATAATAATGTCGGTGTAAGCAAGAACCGTATTGAGTTATTCCACACGGGGTAAGGAAGAAAAACTATTGATAGAGGACGAAGAGGTCTAGACATCCTTAATCGAATACTCCTTTGCTTCACATGAAATTCAGTTTACCACTGAGTCAATTATTTCAGGGAAAAATTCCTTGTTCTCCAAATTAACGATCACTGCGTAACGATTCAATAACTATTGGAATTATCGGCTGTACCCACGCCTTGCATGACAGTTGCGCACGAACAAAGCAATTATTGCGTGTTCTCAGCCGATAGCCGTGACGTCGCTTTGTTCTTACTTCAGCAAAAGTCATGACCACAGAAAATAATGCATCTAGATGCCTTGGCTAAAACCGCCATGGGTCAATGTACCTAAATTAAAATGCAGTCTCTGAACTTCCTTGTATTTAGAGGATCCGTCTTAAAAATGTGTCGAGTAAGAAAAATTAAACTTCATTCTTTTCTATCTTTGCAACGCTGAGTGGGGCCAGTTGGAAGAACGAAGATTTTGTCGTGCGGTAGAAGATATCTAATTTGAAATAGGTTAGAGGACGAGATTTGACCGAAAGAAAGATTATGTACTTACTTGTTATTAACCTTTGGAGGTTTGCTTTGAGCTTTAGCTTGTTACGTTTCTAGGTAGCTTGTAATGAAAGGATGGCGCTTTGAAACCAGTAGAATTGAAGTGATCTTATCCCACCTTTATGGTGATAAAATAGAACAGAGTTTCTGATCATATTTTTTAAAGTAGAGTGCCAACGTTTGAGAAAACACAATGTTCGATATATTTGGACCATTGGTGTGAGCTCAGGTCAGTTCATTACTTGTGTTGAAACTCAGACCTAGAAACATGAGAAGTTTGAGCATTGTGGCATAACCCAAATGGAGTGTGCAGCTGAAACTGTTAAGAATTCAAATCAATGCATGCGTCAAGACGGCTTTCGAAATAAACTGTACAAAATTTTACCATTTTTCAAACCAGTGCTAATGATAATATTTAAAAATTGTCTACTGTGGCTGAAGGTGTTTAATTTTTGCACGATTTTAGTACATGCAATTCTAGTCCATTTCTCTCTCCAAATGAACAACGTTGGATCTAACCAGGTTTTGTTTCAGCTGAGTGTAAAAGACGCCGCGTTTAAGCCACAAAATGTTTAATACGATCCACTGACCTTCATTTTAAATGAATGAAAACCTTAAAAACAAGTATCAATTGTCCAAGAAGCTATTTAGTATGCATATGCCATGATCATGGCCTAATGTAGAAGAGTCCATTGCATGTCTTAAGCCTTCGCTAGGGATGACTCAGCGAAGGAATTTTTCTTTAGACCATTTCCTTTTTTTATTAATCATTGAAAAATTCCTTGCACTCGGTATTGATGTCATGGAAGCATATCAGGTACAAGCCTTTTTTGAGGCGTCGTTAAGTACTTGAGGCGAGTTGAGATGAGGGAGTCGATATCGCTTTCAATCGCAAAGCACCTTTCAGACGTTTAAAACATTTTGAAATACCATGAACCAGCAAGATAGACAGGATGTAACCTTCTTATTGAGATATCTACAAAGCTTAATCGACAGACGAAATTCAACTGTGCATGCTCTTTATTCCCCCCTTTTTTTTTTTTTCTTCATTGAATGAACTCAAAGGACAGTACATTTGTGCATCTACTGTTCAGAACGTCAGCTTGCATTAAAATGCCTCATCGCCACATAACGACAACGCCGGAATTCGAAGCTAGCAGAGGGGGTGAAATTCGACGGAACGACTTATGAAGATCCAGTAAATACTTCCCTATTCAGTCGTCGCTAATAAGGGAAAAGCGGTGTAAAGGTTAATGAGAGAAGCATCTGTTTTCGGCATTCTTTTAAAAAGATTCCTGCAAAGATCAATGAAATTAACAACCACAAATTCCGTTCTTTCTTTTCGCACAGCAACGGTCGCCGACGTACGTGGCTGATAACCCTTTTGGGTCTCGTGTCTTACGCCCGTCCTCGATGCAGCAAATTATGCCTGACGAAATACATCCTGTGAAATGCGTGACTCTTGCCAATTATAAATATGCTTCGCTCGCTTAAACCCCCGAGGGTTAAATTATATATTTAACGAAAGAGAAAGAAGTCAGTTGACCCTTTTCAAACGATTGCAGATTTTTTAATTTGATATGCTTAAGTCCTCACGTGCGCAACTTCGTAATACAAGTAAAATTATTTCATTCGTCGGAAAGGGCGTTCGGGTTAAGCATACCAAATAAAAAAGGTATCTCAGGGTCCGTCGAAAGTATTTAGCTCTGGAGAGGGATATCTGGTTGGCACAGTTTTAGTTGTTACGTTAAGTCTTTTATATACGCAAAACACGTGAAGGAATGTTTTAAGGATCAGACTTGATGCTATATGGTGTGCAGTTTCAGAGAGATAAGCAATTATGCAGGTCAGGCTGAAAGCCTGGGAAACTTTGTGTACACGATCGCAAATGTTTGTTATGAAATTATCAATGCCACAACGAGGAACAAGCTTAAAGTCATAAAGGAATTTTAGTTTCAGAAGAAATATCTTTAATCAATTTTGAACACGTACATGATATTGCTGACTGCTTTTACTTTTCTTGATAAAGTTATCTTTATCCAAATTTTGTAGAGGTAACAATAGTAATAAAATTAGGAAATGATAGATTCTCGTGTTCATTATTCAAGTTTTTTATTTCTTAGTTAAAACCCTGTCCGTTCATGATCTCTAAATGTACTTGATCTATCAACAGGAGCGTGTTTCCGAGTGGGACGCAACCCTCATATTGCCTTCACAAAAATGGCGGACAAATACGGAGACGTTTTCAGCTTAATGCTCGGAAATCGTTTAGTTGTTGTGCTCAATGGATTCAACGTCATTCAAGAGACAATTATAAAGAAGCCGACAGTTTTTGCCGGCAGACCACGATTGTACACCTTCGATCTTGCCAATCCTGACGGTAACAGTCTCACTGTAGGCGACTACACACCTCAGTGGCGGCTGAGTCGGAAGATGAGCGTTGCAGCAGTTCACAACTTTGCAAAGGATACAAGTAGCTTGGAGAAGAAGCTTTTTCAGGAATCTGAACGCTTGATCTGCTGCTTAAAGCAACAGAAAGGCAAAGCCTTTGATGTCCGAATCACTCTCAAGTTTGCCACAGCCAATATTATTTTAAATGCGCTGTTTGGAATCAACCGTTCATACGACGACCAAGACCTCCGACGTATACTCGAGCTTGCCGACAACTACCGAGAGGCTGTGCATGGCAGTAGTCACATTGATTTCTTGCCTTTTTTGAAGCATCTTCCCAATAGAGCGCTCACAAAGCTAGTACTTGCATTAAAAGAAGTCTCAGCTGCCACCAAAAAGATGTTTCTGAAAAACAAAGAAACCTACACTGAGGGCCAAGTTCGCAATATTGCCGATGGTTTTATAAATGTCCTTGAGAAAGAAACGATGAAAGAGGCAGAGAATGGTCAGAACAGTGAAAACACTCAAGTAGAAATGTCTCCCCTCTTGAATGATGAACAGATTGTTCAAGTTTTGACAGAGCTCTTCGGTGCAAGCTTGGACACCTCGTCCATAACTGTTTACTGGGGCCTGGCATACTTAATCAAGCATCCCGAGATTCAGTGTCAGTTGCAAGATGAATTAGACAATGTGATTGGACGAGATCGGCTTCCAACCCTTACAGACATCCCTTCCCTTCCTCTGCTCCAAGCCACGGTCTACGAACTTCTGAGGGTGACAAGTGTTGCGCCTCTGGCGATTCCTCACTCAACTACAACTGAAACAACCATTCGCGACTTCACAATCCCAAAAGACACAATGGTGTTCATCAACTTGTGGTCTCTGCATCGCGATCCAGCAATCTGGAAAGACCCGGATGTTTTCAACCCGCGACGTTTCCTCAATGGTGCTGGAGAGCTGATCGATCCGAAGACATTTGGAGGCTTCTTGCCCTTTTCAGGAGGTCGTCGTAGGTGTCCTGGAGAAAGCCTTGCCATGAAAACCTTACCTGTATTCCTTGCTGCATTACTTCACAGCTTCCGTTTCTCGCAGGACGGTTTGCCTGCTGAATATCAAGGTATTAATCTTGAGGGGCATTTCGGCCTCACCCTGATGCCAGAGAAATTTTTTACGTTGATCGAAGAGCGCAGCTGAAGAGCTTCATTGAAATCAGACAAAGTGACAATACTTCTTCAGTTAATCTCAGGAAACTTTAAAAGAATCTTGGGTAATTTATTTACGTAATTTAGTTACGTATTCATGAACAAGATATTTTTTATTGTTCTTATCTTACACGGCTTTTCACGGTTTTGATTTTTAAACCGCACAAATTATAGTGGAAAAATGCCGTAATACCACAATGACGGTGTATTATGTACTCGCTGAGATAAATACTCGCATTTACGTGTGAAATTGCAATTATTGTGTTTGGCCCTTTAGGACTATATTGGCATCGGTTTGCTAAAAAATTCTCACTTCTATATTTTGAGCCAACTTGTGATAGGAATTTGATGTAACGGTCGAATTTTGTTATTTTAAGGCTAACCGTGTTTCTTGTTTATCAATGTGACACTGTGCCAAAGAAAATTGTTAAGCATATCTTGCTAGCGTGAGTAATTAAGAATATGAAACCCTTTAAGGATTTGAATCTTACACATTCTGATCTTTTTTGTCGAACACTACACTACGAAATGAACCCTCGCTTTAGATGTGACAAGCATCCTGCACATTGTTAAAATCGGTAATGTCGAAAGCGTAAAGTGTAGAAAAAATTATTTTCCAATTTGGCTCGTCTCGCCATATTCAACTTCTTCATTGGCTGAAGGCATTTCAACCACATAGCCATGTTGACTAAAAGCCAAAATTTGGCATGCATCCCCTTGAGGGGTTGCCCAGTCTCTTTTTACTGAAGCAAAAGGCCCGGCTTTAAAATATAGCTGCTGAGAAAGTAATGAAGAAAGACATCATTAGTGTTTGAAATTTCCATGATCACCACTTCCTGCGATTCTGCAGCAAACCAGTCACGTATATTAGGACAGATTATGATTAGAAAGAGACTGTAATCTTTGGGCTTACAGGAGAACGATATTAACGTATTTTTTGGCCTACAGCAAATAAACATAAACATGAACATTTTACCAACAAGGGAGTAGTATTTCTTCTATATATTCAGTCTTAAAACAAGTGTATTCACTGAGATTGTCCACTTTTGTGAAATTAATAATTTTCCTGTTAGGGCAATCCAGTCAGTAAAAAACCGCAGACAGCCATAATGAATTACCTTGGATAAGATGCCGTGATGAACGCCCGTAAATAAGGACCAGCTTTAACGAAGTGTGAATATAGGCTCCGTATTTATACCCTAGTTAAGACGGTTCCTTCTCAAAACATTTGACTTGGAACCCTGAACTTGTACAATCTTATAAAAAGGAAAAAAATTGAATTCGTTTCATTTATAATGGTATTTTTCTTTGGGGGTCCCAGACAAATTTTCACTCTTTTGCCTTCTGATGCAAAAGTTGATGAATGGAATTTGGTCACCTTCTCTGTCTAAAATACTTCGGAATCCACTTGTTGTGACTAGGAGACAAATTGGTAGGATTTTGACATTTGAAGGGCTCGGCACCAAAGTATTTATGATGAGCAATTTAGCTACGGATGTTGTATTAAGTTTCGTTTCTTAAATACACAAAATTGAAGATTCAACAACGAACTTTCAATAACATTTATCAAGCCTAGATTTGTCTCAGAAAAGTTAAGATTATACCACCTCACGCACTCACTATAGCGATAACAGCTTATAAAATGTCATAGAAGTCAATAACTCGTACTTTGGTTATTAAAGCAGTGGTATTTGAATTAGCTGCACAATTTCAAAACAAGTCGTTTGCGAAATCACTTTCTGGATTTTTAAGATGTATAAACAACTCACATTGACATTATAGCCTGATTTAAAAAAAAAGAAAAAGGAAAACCCCGATAAATAGTTCCCCTTTAGACCAATTGGTATCATTGCATGACGAGAGCGTAAAAGCTATGCGAGTTCTCAGCTGAATAAAGAAGGTAATTTCAATTGTGCAGTTGCAGTGCCTGTAACGGCGACTTAAATAATTAGCAAACAAGAAAAGTCCAAAGGAGGACCTGCAAATTTAAGTCAACAGTTTCTTAAAAATACAGCTTAGGAAGGACTGTGTTATCGCTGAACTGTTATAAATATATAAATACCAAAGAAAACAGTGCAGCTTTTGGTTGAAGTTCAAACTTGAGTACATTTCATTGTGTGATATTCACCCTTCGAAACATTGAAGTGAAATTTTGAAAAAATTCTATAAAAGTACACCACTCTAAATCATTTGCGTTGTGTTGGCTGTTTAGGAAGCACAAAATAAACACTCATAATAAATAAAGCTAATGACGTTACCTACAGGACAAGTCAAAATTTTCTATTGTTTTCAAGATATTAGTCAGTTGAGGGATGTATAATCAGGCACAATCTATAAGCTACTTACTGTAATGATGAAAGCATAGCAAGCTGGTTTTTCCTTTTGCGTGTCGGATTCCTACCGAACAATCAGTCAGAAGGAGCAGCAAATCGCACTTTCTAAAAATACGATAATGATTTTGCAGATAAGTCACGAGGGTTCGAGAAGAATAATTCTTGAACATTCCGCTGACTCAATCACGGAGGCAAGAAGAATATAAGAAGCATTTACTTTCGCACGTTTTTCGTTGAGTCCAGTTTTTAAAGGTAAAATTAAGCTTTTATCTTAGCACTGTTTTCAGGAGAGAGGGGCAAAGCAGTTTATAAGGAAACTAACCAAACACACCTGAATTACGATTCTTCTTACAGCAAATTAACATAATGATCGCGGTATGACTGGCGGATCGGTTTTTACGAACTAGACTTAAGACATAATTTGGATATATCAACAAAGTTGAAATGGTAAATTGGCCACCGTAACGATTACAAAAGCTGACGTTTCGAGCATTAGCCCTTTGTTTCTTTTCTTTTTATAAGGTGAAGTTGAGGTCCCTAAAAACCAAAAAAAAAAAAAAAGAAAAGAAAAAGAAAAAGGTGCCACCGGGCGGTGGGTTTTAAGAGGATTTGTTTTGGTGGTGTTTCATTTGCTTTTCTGTTTGCTCGGTGGGGGATGCTTGTGCATGATGCACAGCAGTGGTTCAATATTTAGGCGCTTATTTTACTAGTTGCAAAACACATTATAATGTCTTCTTTATATCTAAAAAAGGATAGTGATTGTAAATGCTTCTTCCTTCAACTAGTCTGATTAGTTTATGTGGTAAGAGATACAGGAGCTTTATTTTGTTAAGAATGTGGTTGTTTTGTACGGTGGCCCACAACTATCACGGCGAAAAGAAATCGCTCGCNTCGTTACGGTGGCCAATTTACCATTTCAACTTTGTTGATATGTCCAAATTATTTCGTTACCCCCACCGACGCAGCCCCAAACAGTTTCTTTCGAAACTATCAGCATTTAGACTTAAGACACTCGAATGACAGACAATTTGACTCTGGTGCGAATTCCGTTAAGATTTAATCTCCAAAAAGCCGATCACTATAACACAAAAAAGTCCTTTTTTACACGTTTTTAGAGTGCACTTACTCGATAGATCAGAGCACACGATCAATCGCTAAATCTAGTTTCAAACCATTTACATTATAATCATTGTATCTCCTTCCTGTTTCAACAGAGTTTCGAATGCGCCAGGTAGGGCTCTGCCCCAGGGCCTCACCAAGACGGGGAAAGAACTCGGCGATGTTTTATACCTGATCCTCAACAGTGGTTTTGCGTTTGAATTAGCTACATTTTACGCCGTTCAAAAAGGAATAGTCGTCGTCCATCGAGTTTGGGCGGTTCGAGTTCAGTATCAAGTTGGCCTTAAAGGACGCTTTGGATTACTTATTCTAAGAGTTCGATTTCGAGTCCAATCGAAACAGAAGCAGAGCGACTGAATGATGAAAACCGTCTCAATCCTAAACTTCGTGCTTCAGCAAATTTTTTAAAGTTCAAGATTATTTCAAATTTCGCGCTGAGGTAGTCGACACTTCAAGCTTTTGTGCTTTAACAAAAGAGTTTAATCTCCTCAAACAAGGAAATGACCATAAAAAGGTGCTTTTTAAAGCCCTAATGTTTGATCCCGTGTAAATAAGACTTGTTATTTTTTTTCTTTACTTCATTTTGGTAATGGACATTTTTAGGTCTCGTTTAAGAAGACCCTAGTTCAGAGCAAAACTAAAGGGAAGTATCAAACCTAGCTTCGTACATCGACCAATTTTCTGATATTTACAAATTAAATGAATTCACTTTCACTTTAGCAGCTGAAATGTTCTCTGTCCTTTGCGAAAAACTTTGGTATCTCTGATATTCTAGACAGTAATTAGCTTGAGTAAAACAGTTGGAAATGAAAAAATTATTAGCCTTGATCGGTTGTGATGAGGGATGCATGAAGGATCACTTTTTGAAAATGTAATATCCTGAAACAAGGCAAGTCGTTCCATTTTCCATTCCGACGCATTTCAACACAAATCTTATGACTTCATCTTTTAGGTTTACCAGAATCCCACAATGTAACCCCACCCCAAAATTTGGTTTGCAATCATGAAATTTGATTTCGAGAACTCAGTTGCGGGGCTGCTATCAAACTTTTACTAAATTTTATCAGTATTTTGAGGTTTTTCTCAGGTCTGAATTTCAAGATTCGAATTACTGATATCTTCGCACTGCATAGTACGTGCACTAAGAATTTCCTGAAAATTTTCAAGAAATACTTTGTCGTAATGATGTGCTCGGTCTAAAACATCAGCGGATACTAAATTCCCCAGTTTAAGCCTCCTGATGATAGGAAGTTTAAAAGTTTTGATCACAGGTTTCCGAGAAAGAGGCTGGGAAATGATGCATGATCGAAAAAAGTGCAACTCGATTAAAATTTTCGTGGACAGCTTGTTCAGTGTATTATCGGATTTTAGTCAATTACAATGCTGTGCGAGTGGGCATATGTAGGGAATCCACCCTTTCCATTGTCAGCTTCAGTCTTCCTGAATCCTTGTTGTTATATTTTACATTGAAGAGCATTTAGTGACTAAGTTTAAACGGTTAGGAATGAACTCTGATTTGTGTCCATCGTTTCAGGTCTCACGGTTGTTGATGAGAGTTGACCCATCTCAACTTAGTCTTAATCAGCATAAAATATTCTATTCAGCTTAAGGGATCCATCTTTTTTTTCTTAAATTTATTTAGATAACCCACAACAACTCGTTGATAATCGTACCTTTCGTCCATTGTTTATCATTGATGTTAACTGGTAAGTAGAACAATTATCTTTCAAAAAAGAGTTTGGATTCAGTTTTACTTAACAGTGTTACACTTTTTTCCTTGGAATTCAGCCACACAGGAACAATGCTTAATGATTAATTATGTCGCCGCAGCTTCCGCCATTAATTAGCGCACGGATTTGGAGAGCATTCATCGATAACTGAAACGAGAAAACAAGACTAAAATTGTGGCACAGAAAAAGAATTATCTTCGTATCATTGTACTCTAGTTGATTTAAGGGCAAAAAGGAAATTAAAGTCTTCTTTTTCAAAGCTATAGAGTTCCAGGTGAGTTCATAATGAAATAAAGGCCTCCTCTACTCTATGGCTGTCAGCCTCAATCCTTTACTTTCAGGAATAATGGAAACCGATTTTAATTTTTACTCTTAAAGATCATAACATAGATACAATTAATTTGTTAACGCACAGAAATCTTCACTTCGACTCATCGTACAAGCTGAAGAAGGCGAAAATTTGGAAGAAAGGAATGTTACTTCGCTTGGCCTAGGCCAACACCTGAGGTGAGTCTGCTCAATCGAGCTTACGGCTCGATTGAGCAGACTTACCTGAGGTAAAAACACTTCTTGTTCAGCTGGGCAAAGTGTAAGGTGAATTTCACGTACACCAGAGCAATACCGCACTAATGTCCCTGGGTTCTAATCCGCAGATTTCTTCCGATTTGCACTTATCTAAACCAAATGAGATCAATAGCTGATAAGGTCCGCAGTTTTCGTAATTCCTTTAGGAATAAAAATTACATAATTTACCTTCTATCGTTGAGATAATAGATATCAGCCAATATTAGCCATCA